ATAAATAAAGGTTAAAATGTTTAAAAACTCACTGATAGATAAATAAAGGTTAAAATGTTTAAAAACTCACTGATAGAATCCTTAAGCATTTTTATCAAGTTGGTCAGAATGTGTCCCTTATACTTACTTTTCTTTGCTTGGTCTTCCAACACTCAGAGCTCCTTATAAAGGAAGTCTGTTGGCTGCTTTGTGTAGATGTTTTGCCCTCTGAAGATCTGTGCCCTAGCTGTCTAGTTGTGCCTTCTGCTTACCATTGGGTGATGCAGCAAATCACAATTCTGTGATTACGGAATTGTTGGCCTTTATTAGTGTGACTTAGTATACAGGGGTGCTGTCTGCTGGGGGGAACGTTTAGTCTGATGAAAAAAATGTATGTCCACAAATAGAGGATCAATGAGCCCCAAACACATAATAACAAGACACATCCAAGTAAATCTTGAAGGTCCTGTAGAGAGCTCAGCTGGGAGAGGCACTTTTTCTGCAAGCGGCAACCCAGGGCACTTGTAAAGGTGGACAGAAGATCCGACTCCATAAGGGTGTCCTTTGACCGTACATGGACTGTGCTGCACCCAGGCACACATACAACAACAATATACTTTTTAAAGTTGTTTAAAAAAAAGAAACCTTTAAGATACAAAAATCAAAACTAATTAAATGGGAAAAAATCTTTAAAAGCAGCTGAAGAGAATAGTCACATGTGGGTCTGCAAGAGTCCTACAGCTTCTGGAAGAAACTGCCACACTGATCAGAAGAATGGATCTCATCTCACAGGACCCAGGGCAGTGAGTCCAGCCCAGGCCCGCAAGCCTGCTCTCTTGTGACTGCTGGAGACTGTCTGGGTTTCTGCCGCATCGTCTGCCTGCAGCTTGTGCCAATGTGTCCTCACTGTGAATGTCTGTCTACGTTTCCTTTTTATCAGGACAAGTCTGATCAGGGTCCCATCTTACTCCAGCATGACCTCACCTTAATGACTGACATCTGTAACAGCCTTATTTCCATAAGGTCACATTCGGAGGTATTAGAGACTGTGAGGTATCTTTTGGTATCCTAAAAATTATCCCCATGTTAACCAGATTAAAATAACAATAGATGTTTGTTGTGTGAGACTTTTACTGGGGAGATGCAGCACACCTACTCACCCTTGAAAGGAAACCTATTCCAAACCAAAGTATCGATTACACCAAAGTCCAACTTGGTGAGCCAGTGAGTCTGTTGGGGTTACTAACAGGAGTGTGGGGAGGGCTTGCTAACAGGAGCAGGGATGATCCAGAAGCATGGGTGATGAATCCCACCCCAGCATGGGCCTGAATGCTACAGCCCTGGACTCCCAGCACAGCTCACAGGCAGCTCAGCAGTCAGAATCTGCAGCGTGGCTGGTCGGTCTCCTTAGCATTTCTAAACTACATCTAAAAAGAATCTGAGAGGCTGGGGATTTAGCTCAGTGGTAGAGTGCTTGCCTAGCAAGCACAAGGCCATGAGTTTGGGCCTCAGCTCTGGAAAATTTAAAAAAAAAAAAAAAGAATCTGAGACTCTTCCAAGTTTCAGCCTTCCTGGGCAATGTGGTATAAAATTGGGGTAAGATCACTTGCCACCAAGCCAGACAACCTGAGTTTGATCCCCAGGACCCATGTGGTAGAGGCAGAGACGCAACTCCTGCACAGCTGTCCTCTTGCCGTCCACTCCCCTGCCCCCAACTCTGTTACACACATCTGAATCCGCCAATACCCACCCCCATGTACACAAGTAAATGCAATTTTTTAAAATGAAGGTTTCTTCATAAAGATTGGGTTACTTGCATGTTTATGTGCTGACAGGACATTCCAGGAAGGGAGTGGGTCATAGTTTTCTTTCTATCGCTGTGATAAAGACACCATGACCGAAAGTAACTTGGGGAAGTCAGGACAGCAGGGGAGCAGAGGCCCTGGAGTAGCAGTGCTTACTGGCTGGCTCAGCCAGCTCTTTTATGCCACCCAGGACCACCTGCCCAGGGATGGTATCACTCGTGGTGGGCTAGGCCCCTCCACAGCAATCAAAATTCCCCACTGGTCAGTCTGGTGATGGCAACCTCTAACCGAGGTTCCTTCTTCCCAGATGACCCTAGTCTGTCAAGCTGACCAGCACAAGGGTGGAAAGTTGTCCTGCATCGAGTGATGAGTAGCTGGAGTCCGGTGCCTGTAGCATGAATCTTAAAAGGTCTTATTAATAAAAACAAACCTGAAGCCAGGTATTGGGGTAAACGTTGGGAGATCAGAGAAGCAGAACAAGCCACAGCCACATCACCTTGCCAATTCCTCAGCTGATCCTGTTTCCTTAGACTGGAAGCCTCTGTGTCCATCCAAATGGATCTCAGCTGAACTGCTGCTCAAAAGCCTAAAAGCTTAACCAAGCTCTAGTTCCTGGTCCTCGCACCTTAAATACCTTTCTGCTTCCTGCCATCACTTCCTGAGATTAAAGGCGTGTGTCACTATGCCTGGCTGTTTCCAATGTGGCCTTGAACTCACAGAGATCCAGACGGATTTCTGCCTCTGGAATGCTGGGATTAAAGGTGTGTGTGCCACCATTTTCTGGCCTCTATATCTAATGGCTGTTCTGTTCTCTGACCTCAGATAAGTTTATTAGGGTGCATAATATTTTAGGGAACACTATCACCACAGGTGCCCAGGGGAAAGGAGTCTTTCAGTGATAGAAATGCTGTTGCCCTGCCTGTTCATCTACAAGATGCACACTGGCAGTGAGTGGGTGGACAGGGAGGAAGCTTGTGGACTCCCATTATAATCGCTCCTATTCTGTCAGTGAAGTGGAGAGTAAATTGAGTCTCTGAAAGCAGGAGGCTGGCTTTAGAGATTGGTCATTATTGATGCAGCTGACAGTCTTCAGTTCTGCCCTATTGCTTTGCGTTTATAAATCCACCTGTCCTTCATAGCATGCTACTGTGGAGAGTCCCTCGGTGTTTAGGGAAGTCTCCATTTTCTCAGCTGATGTTTTCATGGGATGCCTTAGAGTGCCTCGTTGGTTGCAGGATTGCGGGGAGAACACTGTCCACTAACTACAAACAGACCACATTGAGACCACTTGGTGATCTCGTCGTTCCTATCATTCTCTTGTCTAAGATGGGCACAGCGCCCCCTAACGGACTGTTTGCTCACAGTATGTGTCTGGACTGAGTGTGAAGTCAGTGGGACTACTTAGTCTTGAGTTCCTCCTGCACAGCAGATCTAGTGTGCAGTGTCCAAAAGCTGCATCTGATGCCCTCTGTCCCCCTAGAACTGCTCCACACACACACAGGAGCTGTATCAGAATGGCTCGCTGGCCACCAGATGTCTGCTTGGGTGTCCCGGTCAGAACCTTGCTATAGTTTGAGCTTCTCTCTAGGTCCCCAAGTTGTGTCTTTTCTGTGCCATTCCAGATTTAGTCAAAAGCAGAGGCTACAATTGTTTGCAGGGTCCTAGTGCTGACCCTGACTCCAGAGGCGTGGCTGCCTCTCTTCTCATCCCAGAAGCTGCTGAGATGTGTAGCTTTTTTCTTTTGAAAACTACACACACACACACACACACACACACACACACAGGTTTGGCAGTAGGCAACTGTGGGGACGCTGTGACATGACTGAGCCCACGTCTAATGCTTGGCTTGAAATCTACAGGCTGAACAGTCAGGAAGAGAAAGCATCAGGATGACAAAGTCAGGCTGGCCCCACAAAGACAGGTGAACTTGTGTCTCCCAACTGCATGGTGAGTGTTCTAGAGCAGGGACACCACCTGTGGTGTCCCTAAACCATACGTTGATGCACTGAACAACTTGACCTAAGCAGTGACCAGAAGGCCAGGGGACAGTTGCCTTGAGTCCCCTCAAAGGTTCGCTCAGAGCTATTCCTGTAGTTACTTCCTCAGTCTAGAAAGCACCAGAGAGACAGAACTGAACACCGGAATACCATGGCTGGTATTCTAGAAAACGCTTCCAGAAGCCCAGATAATGTCACCTGGCACACACCTAATCTATATATTACAGGCTACGAACCTGTGCAGCATGCTGTGGCCGACAGAGACACGGTGCTGAGCACAGATTGCAGTTTAACAACTGTGTGCAGAGACACGGTGCTGAGCACAGTATGCAGTTTAACAACTGTGTGTAGAGACACGGTGCTGAGCACAGTATGCAGTTTAACAACTGTGTGCAGAGACACGGTGCTGAGCACAGTATGCACTTTAACAACTGTGCGTAGCCAAACAAAAAGACGCAGGAAAGGAGCTGCCTGACTTAGTTACCTTCCCGTTGCTGTAACAAAGCATCCTTTAAAAGCAAGTTAAGGGAGAAAAGGGCCGTTTTGGCTTAGGTTCCAGAGGGACATGGTCCACCATGGTAAGGAAGATGTGGCAGCTGGTGTGGCAGGAGCTGGAGGCTATGAAACTGCAAGGCCTGTGCCCAGTGACCCACTTCCTCCAGTCGGGTCCCACCTCCTGGGAGTTCCAGAAGCTTCCCAAACAGCACCGCCAGGTGGGAACCAAGTGTTCAGCCACATTGGCCAATAGGGGACGTTTGTTTCCAGCTCCCTTACAATCTTGTGGACCCACTGTTGTATCGGGGACTATGGGGGTCCAGCCCCTCGATAGTCCCCTCCCAGGGTCCAGGAAGAATCTATAACCAGCTGATAATTTATCTTTGAAGAAAAGAAATGAATCTATGTACACGAAATTCCTTAGTCCACACATTTTATTATTCTGTCAGTTCTCTCTCTACAAGCTTATACTCTGCTCTCATTTTTAGCTCCTTTCTTGTCCAATTTCTCTTTACATTTATCTGTTGTCCCCTCCAGGTTCTATCTTAATTCCTTCATCTAGTTCTGCCCCTTCTAGGTTCTCATCCATCTAGTTTTTTCCCATATCAACTCCTCTCCCATCTCCTTCTCTCTCATCTTGTTCTTCCCCATCTGGCTCTTCCTCAT